ATATAAAATTTATCATTTCTTGCAACGTCGTCAAAAAGGTAAGCAAGTCACGTTAATGTGCAATTTCATTGGACGTTTATTTGGTGCACCATGATTCAGTCTATACTTAAACGAACCACGTAAAGCTGCGCAAATTTTTCCTTTTCAACAATGTCAGATTCTGCCAAGAACCGCATACAATACGATGGAAGGTGGACAGATCGGTAGATTTCAAGCGATATACATTACCTTACGTTTGCTTATTTATTTTTGACTCTTCTAATGCATTGCATATTCCCATCGTGACATTAAGAAAACAAAAGTAAACAATTCGTCGACTGTGAACATTTCCAAACCCACTAAAACGTTGCTCCTTCATTTCCAAACTACTTATCACATCACAGTCAACTGATCAAATTCAAAATACCAGACCATTACAGTAATTACAATTTTGGACCCCATTATATAGCTGGGTTAGCTCGAGAATAAAGTGTCGAAAACAAGCTTTGTTCAACGCTGTGTATTCTAATACGATTTCCTAGGTTATGAAGCCAATCAACGGATGTTATCCAAAACTCACGTTCCAAAAATAACGATCTGACATTAAAACCTATAGGGTAGAGCTGTTCAGTATTTCGCAGAATCAAAACATTAACCAAGTTGCATTCACATGAAAGATGATGTCATAAACGCTCACGTTTGATCTTGCTCAATGTTGCCTTGTACAGATCCGCATTGATCCGCGCCGGATCAGTCGCCTTACACAGATCCGATCGCGTGCTGTCTAATGCCTGATGCACATGAAACAGGGCTTGAGTCAGTTGTCGAAGACGAAGGAAGACTTTATCCCTTATGGAGCCCGGCGAGCCGATGCCATCTTGATTATTTCCAAGATGCGGTTGTAATGCAGGCAGTTCGGAATCGTTCGGACTTTCCGGGTGCTGATTGGCATCCTCGACGCATGCGAAAGCACAGTCCGTGGGTAAATGGGGAAGCATTTCTCTCATCAAAGACAAGTCCAAAGACGGATCACTGTTCGCATCAATTATTCCATCCAACTGGGTTGGATCGAATGCGAGGCGAAATTTCAACGAGGGAGACGGAAAAAGACTGTGCTTATTACACATACGATTACATACAGATAACAGATACCGTAGAAATGAAATAATAATAATAATAATATTAATAATAGATGAACGTGAATAAATGAATGTTTTTGCACATCATTTGGAGAACTGGATCAATGATGTCCCGATCAGATGAGACCAATGTATCAAATAAACTATGCTCAATGCTGAACGTGATCCACTTACAAAAAAATGCCTAATACCAAGTTCAGTCAATCCCAAACAACAATAGTGAACGAGTATATCGTTTACTGCTGTTTTGAAAGAAACAACAAGACCGGGTGATGTAAAATACAAACCAACTAAGTATAAACTAGCACCGTTCAGGATGAGTTAGATGGCTGTGACTGTCTTCTTGATCATATAGAAGATCATGAGTTCAAACTTCCTTACAGACGATTGGTTAGGACAGTGCACCCATATCCCGTTGTTTTCTTTCATCATGCTTGGACTATCTCCTTCTGAAGGATAGGTTAACCTATCTAACTTTGGCATGTCCAAATGTGAACTACTGGACAGGAAATTTAGCCCGATAACCTGGTGACCAGCAGTTTGGGTCCTTCGCCCTCTGAAAATCCTGATCAAATAGATGAAACGTAACAAGAATGGATGTTTCAATAGGAGTAGGTTACATTTGCCAAACAACATTGCAGACTACATTGGAGCCTTCCAAAGACTCTTGCGAAGCAAAAAAGATCAGGTACTCGGTCACTGATGTGGCTCGTACGCGGCTGCTAATTTGATGAACATAAGCCAGGTCAATTCACTAAGTTGAGGACCGTGTGTCTATCAACGGCTTGGAGACGCGCCTAATAGAATATAGTTCTGCATTAAGATCTCCGTTGCCTAACCGAAAGTCACACCGCAACTATCACAGTGGATACTGCGGTTTATATACTCCCACTGAATTCTGAATCATTCAACCAAATAAATTGGCTCCGGTTGCGGGGGAAAACAACTTTTCTAGGTGTGCATGACATTCCACAAAGTCCTGATTGTTTCATTGTTTCAGATTTGTGCTCCTTATTGGACATCGCTGGCCACGGGATGGAGATAACAGATCACCCTATTGTAAAACAGCAAGATAAAGTAGCGGTCGTGTATTAAATGAATTAACTATCAACGGAACATTGGTCGAAAAGACCTGGGGTCGAAATCGAACACAACAAATTACAGTTCGACTGTGGGCATATTCCCATACAACAAAATACCTCTACAAGTGATATTATATTTGCATTAAAGCAATAAATCTCAGAGCAGGAGTTCCGGTCATTCCAACAGGCAGTAAGCTACAGGAAACAAAACCGAAGTTCCAATGGTAAAGGTTCGATTGAACATAAATGAACACCATCCGGTCGTCACCCAATTGCAACGATGAAACATGGTATAGTATGCGTAAAAGGTGACCTTCGGGAGCGATATGCTTGCACCTATTAGCTATTTATATCGTCGTTTCGCTCGCATTGCATTATACTGAAGGCGATGTTGTTTCCTCTATTCCTCTTCGTATGATAAGTCCGAGGTGGTTCTTAAGTATTATTGATCAGTTACTTTTATCCTGCAGCCCAAAATTTTCATCCTCTTGCTCTACTGTCATCTCATTCCTTTGTGTTTTCAGGCTGATATTCCCAGCCCCTGGACTGTCTCATTACCATCATGGTTCCCCTGCTGACAATACTCTACTATTGTTGGTGGTGTTGATCACGCTACTACCTTTTCCCTGACTACATAGGATCTTAAGGGTTTCTTTCACATAATCTTTGGATTAATTGCCCTCAAGCCCTCCATCTATTCATCCAGTCAGTCTGAGCATATTTAGGATAACCTACCGAAAATTCCTTCGTTATATCGCACCATTCTCTTCAGTCTGCACACAATTGCACCACTGTTCTCACTCGAGTCTTCTGTATCTTCCTGGAACACTTTCCCCGAAACAGTGAACCCTAACTTCGAGTTGTGTTCTCCCCGTGAGACCCAATTTCTTCATAAAAGTGGGATAACTTGCCCTCTTTTAAAGCTCGTAAGAAGAAAGAAGAAGGTTGCCTACACAGGACACACTCATGCTGCGGTACGTTTACCATCGTACACGATCATGTGTGAAGTAAAGCGCCTCTGCATCGTCTGTCGGAAGACTTCTCGAAGGCAAGAGCCGAAAAGCAGTGTGGAAAGGAACTCGTTTTATCTGTGGTTAACAGTACTGAGATGGAAGAGTTGAGCGCTTCATTCTTCAACTACAAATCAGATACACTATTATCCTTTACACTGCTTGGCTTTTTCGACTTGCAGCCTTTTTCCACAGCGGAAGCTTTCAAGCTTCTCCGATCCTTAAGGTCAAAGTCTGTAGTTGGCTCTGATGGCTTATCTCCAGCGCTTCTCAAACATGGTGCTGGGTAACCAATTGCGGCAATGACGGTCCTTGCCAATAAATCTGTTGACGTCTATTTCATTTCTAAACCATGAGAACCTGTTAATATTGTACCTATCCGACATCTCGTTCAAACGTTTTAGTTCGATCACAATCACTTCTTCAGCACTATCGCTCATTGAGCGTGCTATTCAGTCATTTGTGCCCTTCCATAATTATCAATTGCATCAGACACCACCACGTCATTCGTTTTACCGCTAAGTCTCTGGACCTCTCAATAAAATCCGTCCGTTTCATACTTCGTGAATAAGCTTCTGCATTCGATTCGGTCTCTTGAATTTCTTTCCTCCACAAATTATAGTGGTTTCGGTGTCCTATGCCGAAATTTCCCGAATTAAAAACCGCCGACAGAAACTTATATCGCCCAATGTCGCATAACTCTACGGTTCTTTAAGAAGCTGTTTTTGCTCCGCTTATTAGCAAGTTAATTTAGTCAAAATGATTGCTTGACAGATAGAAGTCTTCTGTAGACGATGTGAAAAGTTTGAGAGCCTCGGTGGGGTTCCAACCCACCTATGGACGCCACCTACATTTTTGTACAGCGCATGCTCTACCACCTGAGCTACGAGGCCACTGATCATAAAATTTCGGCTGTTTTGAGGATTCGCTTTTCATTGTAGGCGACAATTTAAATCTTGTAGATCTACCAAACTTGACCCTCTTCTTAATTAAAAACATTGAAAACTTTTTAACAAGAGGGAATGCACAGCTCGATTTGTTGTTTTTGTACGATCAGGATCTATTTTCTGCCCATTAATATACCTTAATTACGAACTATGACCACTGCATGACAAACGATTTACAAGAATTATATTCCGAGGAACACCACAGCAAACTAAGCACTTAGCCAGTGGACAGATATTAAAAGTACTAAGAGCTAGCAAATCTGTCGACTCTGAGAGGAATGGCCTTCCGTGCCAAAGAAGATGGTACAGTCTACTGATCACAGAAATGTGCACAACTGTATTGACGGAACACAAACTTATTTCTATGTTACATTGCTCATGATTGTCACAAATCATAAGCTGTCTGATCGAGGATTATTTTGCCGACAGTAGTCAACTCACTAAGTTCCTTGATTAAACAACTGAATCATTAACGGCAAACCGAACAGTGTTTTGCGAAGCCGTTCTTTCTCTTTCTCCTTGTACTCTATACTGGTGACTTGACTGTGAATTCAGACGATATTATCATCAACTCTGTATTCTTTCTTTTACTCCTTCATATAAACGGGAAGCCATGAAACATCAACCGAAAATTATATGATAACACAGAGACATACGTGAAATTCGTCTAGCAGTTTATTCAACGACAAACCGATCAATCGCCAAGACTGCTCCGTATAGAAACGACAACGCCGTTTGAGAAACGCATGAAATCGTTGATCCAATGAGGGCAGATTCAGCGAATCGGTTTCCAAAAACTGAACACGAAGGGAACGCAAATCACTGGAGGATAGAAATTTGTGCAATACCAACATTCCCATGGAAGAAACGCCGGAACTGAGGTCCGAACTGGCATCCTTGCGTCCGTGCATCGGAGAAACAGATAGAAGCG